TATTAGTGCCTATCTACTTCAAATTTTTCATTTAATTCATTTCTTAATTCATTATTTTCATGTTCTGGGTATTGTTATTGTATTTAACTTATTTCCATTATTAAAAAATATAAATGGTAATTGGTATTTTCAATTTTAAGTCATAAACTAATATTAATAGAATTAGAATTAAATTAAAAATTATAATATCAATAATTTTCTTAATAAACAGATTCTTATTTAATTAAATTAATTGAATAGATTTATCCGATTTTCTGAGTATATATAGAATTTTCCTAATTTAAATTGATGAATAAAAAATATTGAAGCTTTTTGTGAAGTTAAATAGACTTATTAAAATGAATCACTTAAATTAATAAAATATGCAAATTTCAAGTTGGTATTGAGGTCAAGAATAAAATAATGAATAAATGAATTTAAAATCAAATTTTGAATTGAATAATATAATAATTGTTCCCTAAAATAACCTAAATTGCCAATATAATTTTTAATTGATGATATAAATTTACAAAGAGTTAATTTTAATTAGTTATGGTATAAAATAGTAATGAAGTTAATTTAAGTTTAAATTAAAAATTATACTTACTATGCAGAATATATGAATTAATATAAAATCTTAAACTTAAGCACATATAATTATTAGTGTAAATAAAATGTTTTTTTTAATTAGATAATTTTATTAGAGATCATTTCCCTATAAATTACTTGGCTGTTATATTTTGTCTAATTTCACATATTATGTATAAATTATATTTGAGATGTTTTTGAAAAAAATTTAAAAGAATTTTGAATGTCATTTTAAAGAGAGAATAAAAGAATTATATTAAGAAATTCAAAGTTCAATATTGGATAAATCAATAAATGAGATTGTAAATGAAATATTATAAATATTTAGTTAAAGATTATTAACTAAAAATGATGAATCATTTGCTTAATCTAAAATATGTACTCACAGATGATTTATTCAAATTATTTAATATTATTATATCAATCAATTATTACTCTATTCAATTACAATTTATTTTTCATAATTAAATTATTATTCTATAACTTAGAACTACTCTAATTATCCTTTTTATATTAAAAAAATTTCTATTCTTTGGTAACAGAAAAATGTTACTCAAAAATTTTCATAAAAGAACTTCATTAATTCAAATTTATTACACAAAATTTTGCTCAATAGTTTTTTTTATTTATATTGAATGATAAAATTAACAATTTTAATTGTTATCATATAAACCGGGTCGAAAGAATCTTAAAGTTCTAAAAATAGATTTTGATTTATTTAAGGCAAATCCGATTGTGGTTCAAATTTTATTAAAAATATGGCAAAAGCAGCATCAAGGAGTGCCTCTTCTATTATTACAGCATTCACAGAGCAATAGTAATGCTTAATTAAAAGTTTAGTTAAGAAATCTAGCTTTTGGAAGCATAAAGAGAATTCGATGAAATGACAAAAGAAATAATGAAAAGGAGAAAAAAGTTAATGTAATAGTTTGAAAAAGGAAAAAAGAAAGCACCAGAAAAAACAGACGCATCAAAAGCAGAGAAATTTAAGAATATGGTTAGTTATAATGATTGATATTTAAAGGATGAGCATTCCATTCCGTTAACAGAGTTAGAAAAAAGATTGGAAACATCAGTGAAAAATGGGTTAAGCAAGAGCCAGATTGATAGTAAATTGCAATAATATGGGAAAAATGTACTTTCTTCGAAAGAAAGGACTCCATGGTATGTGAAATTACTGCATGAATTAACAAATGTTTTTGCTTTGTTAATTTGGGCAGGTGCTTTACTGTGTTTTATAGCATACGGTCTTGCCCCAGAAGACCCTTCGAATGTATTGGAATTAATTTAATGTTAGCTTTACTTAGGAATAGTTTTGATTGTAGTAGTTGTTGTTACTGCTGTGATCACGTTTTTGTAAAATCAAAAATCAGAAGCAATAATGGAAGCATTTAAAAATTTCATACCTCCTGAGACTTTAGTGATAAGGGATGGTGAATAATAGAAGCTTTAGGCAACAGAATTAGTTCCAGGAGATGTTGTAATAGTTGAATTTGGTAAACGTATTCCAGCAGATATCAGAGTAATAGAGAGCAATGAAATGAAGGTTGATAACTCTAGTTTGACTGGTGAATCAATGTTACTCTTAAGAACAACTGAATGCACACATCCTTAAAATCCATTAGAAACAAAAAATTTAGCATTTTTTGGAACATTGTGCAAAGAGGTAAATGTGAGAATAAATATGTTAGGGCAATGGAAAAGGAATTGTTTTATTTACAGGTGATAAGACAGTCATTGGATAAATAGCAGGATTGGTAGAGAGTTCAGAAAGTGATGAGACTCCTTTAAAGAAAGAATTAAATGCATTCATTACATATATTGCATATATAGCAATATCTATAGGAGTAGTATTCTTTGTACTTGGATTTGCTGTGGGATATCGTATTTAAATATTTATAATTCTTTAGCTGCTGTTACCAATTTAATATTTGCAATAGGTATTATAGTGGCAAATGTACCTGAAGGTTTATTAGCTACAGTGGTTGTTGCTTTAACATTGACAGCTAAGAAATTAGCAGGTTTGAAAGTCTTGGTGAAAAATTTAGAAGGAGTTGAAACATTGGGTTCAACATCTTGTGTTTGTTCAGATAAAACTGGAACATTAACATAAAATAAGATGACTGTAGAGAATATTTGGTATAATGGTAAGAAGATGAGAGGTCATAGCAGAGAAAAGATGGGTCCAGAATTTAAATATGAATATGATCTAAAAGATCCAGGATTTCAACTTTTACATGAAACAGCTATTATATGTTCAGAAGCTGTATTTGATAGTAGTTTACCATAAGAATAATAAATTAAAATATAAAACTTAATTGGATTATCTTAAGAATAAAAAGATGCTAAATTAGAAGATGCAAAATCCAAATGGAAAGCAGCTTATGATAAATTACCCTGTTAAGAAAAACCTACTGTAGGAGATGCTTCTGAAACAGCTCTCATTAAATTCTTTTAGCCAATCAAAGATATTCTTTAAACAAGAGCTTCAAGAAATGTAGCTAGAGATGTGAATAGCAAATAAGCAAGAAAACCTTTTAATTCAACTAATAAATATGCTTTCATAATAGTTGAATATGAGACTGATGATTCACATTATTGTTTATTAACAAAAGGAGCTCCAGAAAGAATTTGGGGATTATGTGATTAAATATATAATAGTGGAAAAGTGTAATAGAAAGATGAAAATTGGGAAAAAAGCTTTGAATAAGTGAATGCTTAATTTGGAAGATAAGGTGAAAGAGTGTTAGGATTTGCTAGATTACATTTACCTAAATAACAATATCCCCTTGGATACTAATTTAACTTAGATAAAATGAATTTCCCTTTTAGTAAATAAGTATTTGTTGGTTTGATTTCTTTAATTGATCCACCAAAAGATAATGTTCCTCATGCTGTATAAAAATGTAAATCAGCTGGAATATAAGTAATTATGGTTACTGGAGATTAACCAGTAACAGCAGCTGCAATAGCAAGATAATGTAATATTATAACAGAGAAAACAGTTAATGAAATTATGGAAGAAAAGAATATTTCATTTGAAGAAGCATTCCATTAATCAAATGCATTAGTAATTCATGGAGATAGATTAACAAAGATGGCAATTGATGATGAAGGATTACCAGAAGATGAAAAAGGTAGATAATTATAAGAATGGCTTGGTAAACCTTAATTAGTGTTTGCAAGAACAAGTCCTGCTTAAAAATTAATTATTGTAGCTGGATGTTAAAGAAGAGGTCATATTGTAGCAGTTACTGGAGATGGAGTAAATGATAGTCCTGCAATAAAAAAGGCAGATATTGGAATTGCTATGGGTATTACAGGATCTGATGTGGCTAAAGATGCTGCTGATATGATTTTATTAAATGATGATTTCTCTAGTATTGTTGTTGGAATTGAAGAAGGAAGAAAGATTTTTGATAATTTTAAAAAATGCATTGTTTACTGTCTAACTTCTAATATTGCAGAATTAGTTCCATTTTTAGGATTCATTATTTTTAGATTACCTTTACCTTTAACTACTGTCTTAGTTTTATGTATAGAAGTAGGAACTGATGTCTTTCCATCTATGGTATTTGTATTTGAAGATGCTGATCTAGATGTTATGACTAGAAGACCGAGAACTAAAAATGAACATTTAGTTGGTGGACAATTATTATGGTTTTCTTATACCTAAAATGGTATATTAGAAACATTCTGTGGTTTCTTTTAATGGTATGTGACATTCAATGATTTTGGTTTTACTCCTACTACTCTCTATTTTATCTCAAATAAGTAAGGGGTCTTACCTAAAGCAAATGATATCTATGATCCAAATGATCCATGGTTTGGTAATTCTAATCTTAAAGAAAATTATAAAGATGGAACTTGTACTGGAACTAATTTAGAAGGATATGAAGATATTGATTGGGTTTATGCAAATCATGGCAAGTTTGATCTCAGAATGGCTTATTTGAAATGTGAAGATGGTAAAATTGTACCAAATCTTGAATTTGGAGAATGTCATGTTAATTTAATTTCTCCTGTCACTAAAAAACCATATTGTTACACCACAGAAGCATCAAGCTATGCATAAACTTCATTCTTCTTTGCAGTTGTTGCTGGTCAAATGTGTAACTATCAAGCACTAAGACAACTCAAAAGTGCTGGCTTCTTCAATGGTATATTCTTATATTCATTATTTTAGGTTTCCATAATTATTTCATGTACCTTGCTTATTTTGTAGAATTCTTATTGACTTGGAGTTTGTCATATCTAGAAGCTTTCAATACAGTGTTTGGAACAAGAGACATCATATTTATACATTATGGCATTTGCGCTTTACCTTATGGAATGGTGATGATTATCTGGAATGAAGGAAGAAAATTTTGTGTAATATTTCATTACTTATAATTTAGATTCGACATTTTAAATCCAAAACTGCTTTGCCAAGCTGGTGGGATAGGTGCGTAGTTTATTGATCTATAATTATATCATTATTAATATTATAATTGCTAAATCATAATCTTAAAGATCTATAATAAATAAATAAATTATGGATAGTAACTTCACCATTCAAAACTTAACACCAAAATCTTTGATTGAGCAATTCGGATCTCCACTATATGTTTATGATGAAGACATTATAAAAAGATAGTGTTAAACAATTACAAAAGCCTTATCAAATTCATTTGATTAAGATGCTAAGGTTTTGTATGCTTGTAAAGCTAACACCAATCCAAACATATTAAAAATAATGAGATAAAATGGAATACATGGCATAGATGCTGTTTCACCCAATGAAGTTGAAGTAGCTTTGTAAGCTGGATTTCTTAATCATTAAATAACCTATACAGCTAATTATATGACCAAAGAGGAAATCACATATGCAATTCAAAAAGGAGTGATTCTTAATGTTGGTGAAATTGACACTTTATATAAACTTATAGAATATCAAGCTGAAGTAATTATTCGATTAAATTTGGATGTCGGTATTGGACATCATAGTCATGTTAACACTGGAGGAAATGATAGTAAATTTGGTATCAATCTCATTTGGAAACAATAAATTTCTGATATCCAAAAATAAGGTGTAAAAATTATTGGATTACATCAACACATGGGTAGTAAAATTATGAAAAAGGATCATGATTCATATTTATTAGGAATTGAAAAATTATTTTAAGCTGCCACCTAAGAATTAGAATTACCATATTTAAAATATATAGATATTGGAGGAGGATTTGGAGTCAAATATGAACAATAAGAAGAAATTAGTGATTTGGACCTTCTTTTTTCAGAAATTAAAAAGTTATATGATAAATATTTCACAACCATCAAACCAATTTTATTTATTGAACCTGGAAGATATTTGATTGCTGAATCAGGTTATTTATTATGTACAGTTCAAGCCATTAATACCAATAAATCTAAAACATTTGTAGGAACTGATTCTGGAATGCATCATCTAATTAGGCCAGCATTATATTAATCATATCATTAAATTATAAATTCAGAATAAAAATCAGTTGAATCAAGAATTGTTACTGTATGTGGTAATATATGTGAGAGTGGAGATTTACTTGGAGTTGATAGAGATTTAAGAGTCGAAATAAATGATGTTCTTGTTATTTAAAATGCAGGAGCTTATGGTTTTTCAATGAGTTCAAATTATAATCTAAGAGAGAGACCAACAGAATTGTTAATTAGAAATAATCAACCATATATAATTAGAAAAAGAGAAACTTTAGATTATTTATTGGCAAATGTTATAAATTTATGATATTTATTAAATTTGTTGCAATGTGATATTTCTAAATGATATCCCATTTTTATCAATTTTTTTAATATTATTTTACTAAGAATTATCCTTCTATCAATCTTATAATAAACTTAGTTTCCATTAGATTTAAAGATTAATTAAAATAAAATATTATATTTGACAAGATATACATATTTATTGAGATTAAATTATTTATATTTTTGAATTTTAAAACAAAATATTTCATGATTATTATTTTTCACACTTTATTTAATTAATTAATTAAAGTTTTTATTAAAATGTTTATAGAAAGTATAAAGTTTAAGTTATAAGAAAAATAGTCAAAGATCTTTCTTGTGAATAAAATAATAAAATGTAAAGAAATTAAATCATTTGCTATTTAATTATTTAATGGCCTGTTACAATTTTTAATTTTACCTTTATAGTTCACGAATTTTTTGTGAGAATTTAACTTCTATATATCTCATCCTTATTTCTAGGTTTTCCATTTTCTTTTCCTATTATAGATTATTTAGTATTAAATTAATGAAAAATATAAATATTTATTATAATCCTTTCTTTAATTATTATATTCATACGCTTCACAACAATTCTTATTTATTATTAATCATTATTATTAATTTTTAGCTCTTTCTCTAGGAGAAATAGTTAATTCATCATCTGAGAAAATACTCCCTATTATATTTTTTGCTCTTGTACTTAAGGGTTATTACACTTCAATTTATTGATATTATTACTATAATTTTTTATTTGCAACAAAATAAGGTTATTATGGGATTGTTGTTTTTGTAGTATTCTAAGAGTTTCCTATTCTTGATGTAAATGGTTGAGGTATATTGGTTGGAGATTTTTTGTTTTAAGCTTGTGGTGTTGAAAGTTTATTTGTGTTTCTTGCCGTTTCTGGAATAGATTGTATTTTGTTGTCTATTATGCTGTTTTATAATTCTCTACATAACTACTTATTTTCTTCAAACCAAAATGGCTATTTCACAATATTTTATGAATCGAAATATTTTCGATTTTGATAAATCCATTTAATTAAATTGGATGAACTTATTGTTGCCCAATATATTTACTGAATTGAAAGCAATTGCTACAAAGGCATATATCTAAAGCAATCAAGTAATTTGCATAACTATTTTTATTTATTTTATTACTTCTTAAGTTGAAAATTTATACATCACCATACAATCATTCCACAAAACACAACTTATTTCAATGAAAATATTTTTACAATCTTATCTATCTTATTGCATCAATGAATTTATGCATAAATTTAAAATTTATATACATGAATTCAAAAGATTATGTAGCTTGAAAAGGTACAAAATTTTTTATTCCATTGTAATGCAGCCTGTCTGTGATTACATATGCAGTTCTAGTTTCTTTTACTAATAATTTCTATATTACAAATTAGTATCCCTAAAATTATTATTTTTCTTTAATATATTAAATTGTTAAAACTATTGCTCTCTTGTACTCTCTGAATATTATGTAAAAGTTGAATCTTAATCGAATATAGGGTATTATCCAATTTTGCAGGCATAAAACAATTTTAAATTTTATGCTAATTTCATCAAGTACATCAAATAATTTATTACAAAGTTACTGAACTGTTGGTTTTATAGCACATGTATAGTTGAGCCTTCCTTTATCATTTCCTCGGCTATTGTTTCTCCTATTTAAAATTCATATAATATTAGATGGATCGTTAAAGTAATTTTAGTTGCTATGAATCCAGCTAATGGTTTAGCCGTAATTGCCTTAAAAAATTGTTACAAATATTCAATTCCTGTTAAATATATTCCATTACATTCTGGGCCAAATCCCTCAAAACATTCTATTAAATAAAGTATATCTGTCATCATAATTGAAGGATTATTTTGCATCAAAGAACTATTAATTAATTTTTCAACAAAAGGTGTATTTTACTTAGAGATTAATGAAGATAATAAATTGCTAATTGATCTCATTAGTATATTTATTTATTAATTATTTAATTGTTTTTCTATTTTCTATTAAACACTAAAGTAAAAATGAAGAAGGTAACCTTTAGGGTTTTTTTAAAGAATTAACAGAATTTTAGAGAGTATACATGTGAATATCATTAATTAAAGAGGTTGGTAGCAAAGGAAGAAATTTAAATTCCATATGATTGTTTATTATTAATCGATCAAAATAATTAAGTTTATTCCTCAAATTAGCTCACAATGTAAAAAAATATTTTGTTTTGGGCTTTTGATATAAGAGAAATTTTTTCTGAGAATAAAATTTTAAAAAATAAGTATTTATTATTTTCATTAGGGATTAGGTAATATTAAGAAGAAAATGATAATATATTAAGATTAGAAAATCAAACTTTAAAAGGGAAACTATATGATCTTAATGAATAAATTTCAAAGATGAGTAAAAAAATTTCACAACTTGAAATAGACCTTTAAGTATCTAAAGAAGCTTTAAATTAAAAATAACATGAATTTTATTAATAAAATTAATAATTGAATGAAGAGAAATTAAAAAATGAGAATAACTTTAAAGTGCTAATAGATGAAAAAATCTATCAAATTTAAACAATTAATAATGAAAAAGAATAGTAAAAAAGAATATATGAAAAAGAAATTTAAGAAGAAAAAGAAAGAACATATTAAATATAAAAAGAATTTGCTAATGCCAAGCTTACATATGAATAAGAATCATAATCTTTATAATAAAAAAATAGAAATGTGCTTCAATAATTAGAAAAAGAATTAGTAAAAACAAAATAAGAATTATAAGATTTCGAATATGCTCAATAAATATAGATGAAAGCACATCCAGATCAGTTTCTACTGTAATTTAGATTAAAACTTTTAGATTAGGAATTGCAAAAATAGTTATATGAAAATTGTTAATTAAAGAAAGAAATTCAAGAATTGGAAAAAAGAATAAAAGAGTTATCATAAAATGATTCAAAAATATCTTAAAAATGATTTAATATCATATTTTATATCCGTATATTTATAATATCAAAGGCTATAAAAAGATATTTCTTTATTTCAAATATAAGTTTAAATCTAATTTATTGATTTTTATTTAATATTTATATTTATGAGAGTTTCTTTCCTTCCCCAAAATTCTTTCAATTTTATCGCTATATATCCTAAATTTTTAATTTCTTAATAAATACATTTAGAAGTTTATGAAATAATCAAGTTTGATTTAATTTATTTTTAGTAGTTTTATTCAAAAATATCCATATATTTTAAATAATTGAAAATATTTGGAAGATTTGTTAATATCAAATTAATTTATTTTAAATGCAGGCTATATTGAATCAATCAATATTAGAACTAGAAATTTAAACTCATTTAAAAACAATTACAAAAATGAATAATTTTTTAATATATAATTTGTGCTTGACATACAGAAATTAGAAATTCTGCCTTTATTTATTAATATTTAAATGAAACTAATTTGAATTCTTTCTAAATATAACTAAGTCGAATTGAATTGTTTTTGACATAACAACAAAATTTTTACAAAAGTTCTAATATGACGATTTGACAAGTGGTAAACTTTTGATTTAAAGGAATTTACCATTCCTAAACATAGACCTAATTAAGTCATCTATACTATTTAAAAAAAAAATAATTTTTTTACATTCTCCAATTAATAAAATATATTTAAAATCTAGAGCTTTCTCTTCATTAACTTATTTTTGAATTAATAAAATTTTTTAAATCGTTTCCTATTAATAAAGTATATTATACTTTAAATAAATAAATAATAATTTAACAGCATGCATTTTTTTAACGGTGATATATAAAGTTAGTTAGTAAAGAAAATTAAAAAAATTTATTGGTTCATCTAGTAATTAGAGTAAAAACTAAAAATAAAATTTTATTTTTATTTTACTTGGGAATCAAAAAAAGATTTAAGAAATCATAATTACGCATTATTAGAATTTAAAGCAAATTTGGATTTGAATTTTTATTTAAATAAAAATAAAAGTTAACGAAAATGTCCAAAACACTTCTTGCTTTATTGATCATCTCCATGCTTGCATTTAGCACCCAAGGTAAAATACACATTTATATCATCACTAATCGCCATATATTATTTATTTATTCACAAATTCATATCTCCTGACTCAACTGAAAAATAATACTTTTAGCTGCCACAAGTAGCAAGCATGTATCAAAACATCCAAGATCAGATACTTCTTCTGATGCTTAAACATATTCAGAAGAAGAAGAATCAGAAGAAACTTCAGATCTTTTGGCTTAATCATCATCTGAAGAGGAAGAAGAGGAAGAGGAATCTGATGCTTAATCATCCGAAGAAGAAGAGGAAGAAGAAGAAGAATCTGATGCTTAATCATCTGAAGAAGAAGAGGAAGAAGAAGAAGAGTCTGATGCTTAATCATCTGAAGAAGAAGAGGAAGAAGAAGAATCTGATGCTTAATCATATGAAGAAGAAGAGGAAGAAGAAGAAGAATCAGATGCTTAATCATCTGAAGAAGAAGAGGAAGAAGAAGAAGAATCAGATGCTTAATCCTCATCTGAAGAAGAAGAAGAAGAAGAAGAATCAGATGCTTAATCCTCATCTGAAGAAGAAGAAGAAGAAGAAGAATCAGATGCTTAATCCTCATCTGAAGAAGAAGAAGAAGAAGAAGAATCAGAAAGATGTATAAAAATGATGTTATTTTAGTCAACAAACGTTTACACAAAACTGGAACTGCTGCAGCCCCAAGCCCAGCCCCAGCCGCAGCCCCAGCTCCAGCTCCAGCTGCTGGTACCCCCGCAGCCACCAAGAATGGAGCTATACTAGCAGCCAGTTTAGTTTTAGCCGCCATTGTTTTCTGATACATACATAGGATATTTAAAAACAAATTTACCTTATAATAATAACATCTTTTTCATTTCACTTTACTAAGAGATACATATTAAATTTATCGCTTTTGGTAATTATCTAAGTAGCAGTCAATATATTATCTAAATAGAAGAAAAAAATTAAAAAAAATTTTGTCTGATTCTACATTTTAATTTGAACCATTGATTTCTATTTTCATAAAATTGAGCTTGTCTTCATTATTATTTTGAATTTAGATTCAAAATAAATAACTTTAGAAGAAAAAATCAATTTATATATTCATAATTTCAAGAATCCTATTTTCAAGTTGTGATATCACTAATCAACGTATTTAGAATTTGCTCTTATTTTTTAAACAAATAAGTTTAAACTCATTTATTTTCTTCTTTCTTTATTTTGTATTAAATCAAATTTCCCTAATTTTTCTTCCTGAATTTATAAACGTTCAATAACATCAGAGGTTAGAGCTCTGTAATTAGGTTTGCGATCAATTAATTATAAAGTTTTTTAATATAATTGTTAGTTTCCTCTATTTGATAATTTCACTTATCCTTCAATATAAAATTATTTTTCTCTACAATTATTTTAATTATTTTTACTTTAAGGAGAAAATCTGATTTATCATTCTATTTGAAAATGAATTAATTTATTCATCATAAAGATTAAGCAAAGTTTCTTCAAATTTTTTATTAATTTCATCAATCGATGTTATATAAATTGGATCCAGTTTAAATTTTCTATAATCTTAAAAAATTGATTGATCCAACCAATGATGAATCAGTTGTTTTATCATTTATTCAGAAGTGATTCCTTGAAACTTACTTTTGTGAATATCTAATACATCCTACATTTTTGGAATACTTTATATCAACTTCAAAATTATATTGAGAGCATACTTCTCATTTTTAATATTGTTTATTTGGTTGAAATTTTCAAGAAAATTTTTAAATAGATCAATGAGAGTGAATTTTTAAGTAACCTTCTAGTTTACAATTGTTTGATATATGCTTTAGCATTCTCTTTCTCTTTGAATTCGATTGCTCTCTAATTTATTTTTCTTTTGCACAAACATCTTTCCTGCTCTTTATATTTCGCTTCTTTAAGTAGCTATTTAAAAATTTGAAGAGGGTTAAGTAATTTGAGCATCTGTGAGAAGAGGAAGTTATTTTTTTACAACAGATTTTCTTAATTATTTATTTATAGAATTATCATGCTTAGATTCATCAGTTCTAAATATCTAAATATATTTGTGCTAATTTTCATTCATATTTCTTGTTAATTAATAATAATAATTATTTGCAAAAAAAATTATTATGAATACAACAAATAATTTTTGATTATCAAGTTAATTTTGACTTTAATAATAATTAGATTGTAATTTATTTACAATATTAGTTTATTCATTGAAGTCTTCTTTGTGGNATACATATTAAATTTATCGCTTTTGGTAATTATCTAAGTAGCAGTCAATATATTATCTAAATAGAAGAAAAAAATTAAAAAAAATTTTGTCTGATTCTACATTTTAATTTGAACCATTGATTTCTATTTTCATAAAATTGAGCTTGTCTTCATTATTATTTTGAATTTAGATTCAAAATAAATAACTTTAGAAGAAAAAATCAATTTATATATTCATAATTTCAAGAATCCTATTTTCAAGTTGTGATATCACTAATCAACGTATTTAGAATTTGCTCTTATTTTTTAAACAAATAAGTTTAAACTCATTTATTTTCTTCTTTCTTTATTTTGTATTAAATCAAATTTCCCTAATTTTTCTTCCTGAATTTATAAACGTTCAATAACATCAGAGGTTAGAGCTCTGTAATTAGGTTTGCGATCAATTAATTATAAAGTTTTTTAATATAATTGTTAGTTTCCTCTATTTGATAATTTCACTTATCCTTCAATATAAAATTATTTTTCTCTACAATTATTTTAATTATTTTTACTTTAAGGAGAAAATCTGATTTATCATTCTATTTGAAAATGAATTAATTTATTCATCATAAAGATTAAGCAAAGTTTCTTCAAATTTTTTATTAATTTCATCAATCGATGTTATATAAATTGGATCCAGTTTAAATTTTCTATAATCTTAAAAAATTGATTGATCCAACCAATGATGAATCAGTTGTTTTATCATTTATTCAGAAGTGATTCCTTGAAACTTACTTTTGTGAATATCTAATACATCCTACATTTTTGGAATACTTTATATCAACTTCAAAATTATATTGAGAGCATACTTCTCATTTTTAATATTGTTTATTTGGTTGAAATTTTCAAGAAAATTTTTAAATAGATCAATGAGAGTGAATTTTTAAGTAACCTTCTAGTTTACAATTGTTTGATATATGCTTTAGCATTCTCTTTCTCTTTGAATTCGATTGCTCTCTAATTTATTTTTCTTTTGCACAAACATCTTTCCTGCTCTTTATATTTCGCTTCTTTAAGTAGCTATTTAAAAATTTGAAGAGGGTTAAGTAATTTGAGCATCTGTGAGAAGAGGAAGTTATTTTTTTACAACAGATTTTCTTAATTATTTATTTATAGAATTATCATGCTTAGATTCATCAGTTCTAAATATCTAAATATATTTGTGCTAATTTTCATTCATATTTCTTGTTAATTAATAATAATAATTATTTGCAAAAAAAATTATTATGAATACAACAAATAATTTTTGATTATCAAGTTAATTTTGACTTTAATAATAATTAGATTGTAATTTATTTACAATATTAGTTTATTCATTGAAGTCTTCTTTGTGGATATATATATTTAAATCTTATTCAGCCTATAAATATTAAATTAAAACAATTTAATAAAGTTTCTTTTCATCTTTCAAACAATTTGATAATTCTTTCATCATATATTTTAATTAAATCTATATTTTCGAAAATAATAATAATATTTAAGTTAAAAATTTTTATTTTTCTATTCTATTGTTTCTAGAATTAATGTCCTTTGTTTTTTCTCAAAATACTTGAATTTCAGATAAACGAAATGTATTTGTTCCCAGACTCAAAGTTTTATAATTATTTCCAAAAAAACATATAAATTTTCTAAAATTGTATCTAAGTTTATAGATTGTTTGAAATAATAAAATTATATATTTAGTTAGAAAATAAAATATATGGGATAAGCTTTGGAATCTTGTTGTAAAAAGGATAAAAATGTTGTGAAATCAAGGTAGCTCTTTCAGACTAGAGCTTAGATGAGCGGATTGAAATTACAGAAGAATTAATTTTAAAACTGAAATAATAATTAGATGATGTAAAAAAGAAATTAGGAGATCTCCAGGTATAAAATTCGTTCAATATAACATGAAATGATGTTTGGCCAATTAAAGTACTTGTAAAATGATTATTAGTTATTAGGTAGGGGGTCATTTGGTAAGGTATATTTAGTAAAAATTAAAGATAAATTATATGCAATGAAGTAGATTAAGAAAAAGTTAGTATTAAAGAAATAGCAACTAGAAAATATACTTTGTAAGTTATTTGGTTATTATTTTAGATGAAAGATTCATATTGTAAAAATATGATCATACTTTTATTATAAAAATTTATTTTGTTTATTAAGAGCCTTTATTTATCAATATGGTTATGGAATTTATATAAGGAGGAGAATTATTTTATCATTTGAATAAAAGAAAAAAGTTTGATTAAAAAACGACTGCTTTTTTTACATCTTAAATAGTTTTGGCACTTGAATTTTTGCATGAGGCTGTTGGAGTTGCTTATAGAGATTTAAAACCTGAAAATGTTTTGCTCTGTAAAGATGGTTATATAAAATTGGCAGATATGGGTTTAGCAAAAAATAATAATGAATTAAATTATTCATTTTGTGGNTGCTTAGATTCATCAGTTCTAAATATCTAAATATATTTGTGCTAATTTTCATTCATATTTCTTGTTAATTAATAATAATAATTATTTGCAAAAAAAATTATTATGAATACAACAAATAATTTTTGATTATCAAGTTAATTTTGACTTTAATAATAATTAGATTGTAATTTATTTACAATATTAGTTTATTCATTGAAGTCTTCTTTGTGGATATATATATTTAAATCTTATTCAGCCTATAAATATTAAATTAAAACAATTTAATAAAGTTTCTTTTCATCTTTCAAACAATTTGATAATTCTTTCATCATATATTTTAATTAAATCTATATTTTCGAAAATAATAATAATATTTAAGTTAAAAATTTTTATTTTTCTATTCTATTGTTTCTAGAATTAATGTCCTTTGTTTTTTCTCAAAATACTTGAATTTCAGATAAACGAAATGTATTTGTTCCCAGACTCAAAGTTTTATAATTATTTCCAAAAAAACATATAAATTTTCTAAAATTGTATCTAAGTTTATAGATTGTTTGAAATAATAAAATTATATATTTAGTTAGAAAATAAAATATATGGGATAAGCTTTGGAATCTTGTTGTAAAAAGGATAAAAATGTTGTGAAATCAAGGTAGCTCTTTCAGACTAGAGCTTAGATGAGCGGATTGAAATTACAGAAGAATTAATTTTAAAACTGAAATAATAATTAGATGATGTAAAAAAGAAATTAGGAGATCTCCAGGTATAAAATTCGTTCAATATAACATGAAATGATGTTTGGCCAATTAAAGTACTTGTAAAATGATTATTAGTTATTAGGTAGGGGGTCATTTGGTAAGGTATATTTAGTAAAAATTAAAGATAAATTATATGCAATGAAGTAGATTAAGAAAAAGTTAGTATTAAAGAAATAGCAACTAGAAAATATACTTTGTAAGTTATTTGGTTATTATTTTAGATGAAAGATTCATATTGTAAAAATATGATCATACTTTTATTATAAAAATTTATTTTGTTTATTAAGAGCCTTTATTTATCAATATGGTTATGGAATTTATATAAGGAGGAGAATTATTTTATCATTTGAATAAAAGAAAAAAGTTTGATTAAAAAACGACTGCTTTTTTTACATCTTAAATAGTTTTGGCACTTGAATTTTTGCATGAGGCTGTTGGAGTTGCTTATAGAGATTTAAAACCTGAAAATGTTTTGCTCTGTAAAGATGGTTATATAAAATTGGCAGATATGGGTTTAGCAAAAAATAATAATGAATTAAATTATTCATTTTGTGGTAAGAGAGAGGACATAATTAATCAGTTGACTTGTGGACCTTAGGCTGTTTTATTTATGAAATGCTTTTTGGTCATCCTCCATTTTAAGATCTAAATAAGAAAAATTTATATAGGAAAATTCAAACAGGTGAATATAAGTTTCCATTAAAGGTTAGTGAATCAGCATAATCTCTAATTAAAGGATTACTATAATATCATCCTGAAGAAAGATTAAATTTTAAATAGATTAAATAGGATGAATTTTTTCAAGAAATTGATTTTGACTAAATATATTAGAAGAAATTAAACCACCATTTGAACCTTTATTAACAACTGAAAAAGACACAAGAAATTTTGATTATGTATTGGAGAGTCAATTGAAATAATCAGAAATCCCAAATATACCTTAAGCATAAGAACTATTTGAAGATTTTCCTTATTTGGTAAAAAAGTAAATTTAATTTTGAATATATAATTTAAAATATCATGATTTATAGTCTATTTATGCAAACATTTAAACTTTTTATTTACAACTAATGCAGTATTATAAATTTCTATAACATTATAAACATGAGCAAGCATGTCCACAAGGAATAAAAACAAGTTCAATTTTATTCTATTCACAATTCAGACATAAATTTTCTTTTGATTATCCTATTTTAGTAGTTTCATAATTATTTTATGACTCTATTAGAAGTTTTTTCTATTCTACTATAGGTTTTAATTTTGGTTTTGATTATTCTGTTAATTTGAATAGAAAATTAGTTGCTGTAATTTTAGATTCTTACTTTTTTAATTGCATAAGTTCATCTAATTTATTTCTTTATCTGATGCAAAAAACTCTATGTGTAATTTTTGAATTTGAAGATGAAACATTAGCCAATAATTTTTGGGCCATCTCACTTCTGTTACTCAAAAAATGTCCATCTCTTGTATGTAAAATTTACATTTATTTTTATTTTTAACTTAAAATTTCTATCACTAGATTAACATCTTTGCAAGGTACTCCATCATTATTAATTACATTTGTAACTGCTTATCTATCATACCCCAGCTGAACTAATTATTTAATGAATTCTTCTTTTTATTGAATCAAAAATTAAGGAATTTTACCGCTTATAACAACTTCTTTTTTTTTTAATTTTTTCATTTCATCAATTTTACCATGAATAAAATCATTTGTAGCTGATTTTGTATATTTTTTTCCTTTGGCTGGATATATTTTATTTTTTTCCATATATTCCAAAAATTATCTAGGAATTTCTGCTAAAGTTTCTTTAGCTAATTTATCTTAATTATCTCTAACAGAATTAAATTCAACAAATTGTACCAAATCTCTTTTAACATTATCATTGTGTATTTTTGAATGTAACTAAATAAGAATACACTTCTTACTAAATGTAATTAATCATCTCCATCTAAAATTCTCATATTTTAAAAATCCTCTTTGCCAATCCCTACAATAATGATTGATAATGGATATTCTTAAGCTCTATAGATTTATTCAATTGTTGATTGCATATCATTAATAGATCCATCTGTTAAAATTAAAAGAATGAAATATTTTTAGCTAAAATATAAGTTAGTTTAATTACTTATTTTAATCTACTTTTTCATTAGCTGCAAATTCTATTGCTTAAGAAATAATTTAAGAAAATACTGTTGGCCCATGCAATACAACACCTTACAAGATTTCTTTATATAAATTGATAATCTCATCAACCTCTCCATATACATATGGATCAAATATGTTGCCTGTGCATGCAAAACAATGACTCACTACGTTATAATATGGAGGTAATTTAGCTCCAAAACCATATACTGGATATCTATTTTCATTATTATAATATTATAGAATTCCTAATATCTGTTTCAATGCACCTATATAATCGCTCGATGTTTGCAATTCTGCTGGTCCTCCTTCTTCACTTGACAAATGATTTGAATTTGTGAAATCTAATGCAACAATAACTTAGATCTTTGCACCTGAATAAATATAATTCAAAAAACTGAATCTAAAATGTAACTTCACTTGTATTAGTTTTAATTATCCTACTATTAAACCATTTTTTGTCATTCTCAAAGTTTTACCAGAGTTTTCCATTAGTTATTATAAAGTTGTTTCACATTCTCCTAATTAAGTAGTTCCTTTAGTTTTATTATATTCTTCGATTTCCAATTTAATTTAGGCTTATTCATTATTTCCAAATTTACTCAGTGGCAAATAAAAATCGTTGAATTATACAGTTTATTTTTTTTAATATTTTATTGGCTCTGTTGCATGTATGGGCATCCAATCTTTATTGTCAGTGTAATAGGACATCCTTAACAAAACTTCAGCTTTTGTTGTAAATTACTAACATCCAATTTAAAATAGAATTGTATTTCCACCCATATCGTATTCTGCTCCTCTGATATGCAACATTCCATTTCTTTTTCTATTTGACTTTCTATTAATGATAGTTCTTTGAATTGAATAAGTTGGAGCACAAACAATATCTCTAATTTCACATTCAACAAAACCAATAAATTCTTATCTTTCTAAATTATCTATGGCATCAAAATCATCAATATCATAAATTTCAAATCTTAACTTTTGTTATTTTTCGAAAATATAATTAACTATGAATGTCTTAACAAATTTTGGATTGAGACATTCAGGAATTATCTCTGTCCTGTCTATGTAAGTCCATTTATTACTATAAATCATAAAGATGATTACATACTCCTTTTCATAATATGCAACAACAACTGGATCTGTTAAAGAGAATGCATCCATTTTAGGCAAACCTTCACAATGAACAAATAATTCTATATTTTAAGTAAGATCTTCTTTTTATATAGCTATTGCCAAATTTGCAGCATCAATAACATCATCCTCATATTGGGGTTACCTTTTTAATTCTTCATCTAAAAAATGTTTAGAATTCTATGATTACTTTGAGTTTTTGGTTATTTTAGTTAGGCAGCTTTCTTCTTAGTTTTACTTTAACCTGAGCCCATCTAGAAATACTTTTTAAATAAACCTTTAATAAAGCCTTTTCTTAATTTATTTAATTTATAAATTGAAACTAATAATGTATATTTATTTGATTTTTTTCATTTCTTGATGTTTTGATATATTTAATCAACTTGATTTGTATGGTTGGATATGTGATAATAATAAATAGTGGAAAACTAAAATTTGTCTTTAAAGTATTTTAGTTCAGAAAAATTCTAGAAATATAAAGATTAAATTATACTTATTTAAGTTTATATTTATGTAATTAATCTTTGAAATATATTTATTTTGATTTAGAAAACAACGAACAAAGGAGAGTTTATTCATATAAATTTAATTTTTAAATCATAAAAATTTGAAACTTCTATCACTAGTAGTTTAAGTTTTTATATAAGATTTTTATTTACATAATTAAATTAAAATACCATAAGCAGAAGCACCATAGCTTACCGATTCAAATAGAACATCTTATACTGCTAAATCTATTTTGAAATGTTCTAAGAAAGATGAAGGGCTAACAGAAACTCTAATTGATTCAGATGGGAAGAAAATTGTAAAAGGTGGAAATCATAAAATTACCTTTAAGCCACTTTTATATATAAAAACCTGTCAATAACAATTTAACGACAACTAAAATATAAATAAAAAGTCATTCATCAGATCCAGAATGTGAAATTCTATAATAAAATGTTAATTAGAATACTGTAAAGCAAATGATGAGTAAAAGAATTAAGATTAAAAAAATTATACCATAAATTAGTAATGAATCAAAATGTTGTATTATATTCTGACACTTTTTTTTCTTGTAAATTAGTGTCTATTTTATTGTTAATTGTTTGGTCTAATATTAAAATCTTGTTTCCCTTATTATATTTAATATTGTGTATAAAAATTAAAACAAGATTAGTTTCTACTTATTGCTTCTTTAATTTGTGAAACTAACTAAACTTGTCAAGTTTGGCTTCAAATATATAAATTAATGATTGCTTATGTTAAATTTAATTAACACAAGGCATTCATTAAGAAATAGAAAGTTAATTATAAAGATATTGTTTTATAAATCATCTACTATTATATTAAAATATGAAGATATTTATAAGTTAGATATCAATACATAAATGAATTAATATATCATCTGCAATCAGTTTTTTTCATAAGTAAATCCTGGAAATTCAAGAAAATTTTTGTTTGGTTTTATTGATTAAGTTATTATGAACGCAGTCTTATTAGTGAATTATTCAAAGTATCTAGATGTTTGTGAATCAAAATTGTATGGAGGTTTTACACTCCTAAGTTCATCAAAATTAATATCTTCAAAAAATGTATGTTCTTTAAGTTGGTTCCCTTATAATCTTTACTAAGGCTAAATTATTATAATAAAATTTTATTTACATCAATTTCTAACAATCCTTTAATTAAAGATCTGACAGTTTCATCAAATGTATCAGGTAGTTAAACCTATTTATTTAATCTATCCTGGAACATTTGCCTTTTATTGGTAGAGTAGAAAGGAGGTTTACCAGTCAACATTTCATATATTATACATCCCTATGTTTAATAATACCATAATTTACTAAACTGTAGTAATCGACTTCAAAAGAATATCCATTACTTGATGTTATAACTTCTGGGGCCAAATATTCTGGAGTCCCGCACATGCTTTTTGTTAATTCATCATTTAATAATTGTTTACATAATCCAAAATCTGTTAAAACAACATGGCCTTTTTCATCAAGTAGAATGTTTTCTGGTTTTAAATCCCTATATATGATATTCTAATTATGTAAATCTTGTAAGGCCATGAAAATTTATGCTGAGTAAAACTTGCAAACTTCTAAATTAAAATAACCTGCTTCTCTTATATGATAGAATAATTCTCCTCCTTTCACATAATTAACAATCAAGTATAGATTTTTATCATCTTGAAATGCATATTTAAGTTCTACAAGGTATTAACTTTTAGTTTATGATAGAATTTGTCTTTCTGATTCAATGTGATTCTTAGTACTTTCCCTTTAAATTCTTGATTTAGCAATCTCTTTCATAGCATATTATTAAGATTTATAATCAACTAAGAAGACTGATCCATATGCTCCTTGGCCTAGTTTTTTGATTTTCTTGAAATCTTATATACTTATTTTAGGTTTTTTTGTTTGCATGGTTTACGTTAAAGCTTTATTGGATTTTTAAGTTTTTTCTTCATCTCTGCCTTGGCATTAATTTCCCATTAATTATTATAATCATTAACTCGTCATTTATAAAATCTTAAATTCAATAAATATAATCTATATATTTGGTATGATATTTAAAGACTTTTTAAAAGTAATTATCAATTAATATTATCATTAAATAAATGACGTATTCAATAATAGCACTTTGTATTTTATTGACAGCTGTCAATGGAAGTGTTGAGGAGAGAGTCGAGAGATTAATGGGTTTATAATAGAATTATTAACACTCTCAATCTGAGAGCTTCTTCTATTACACTTAAGTAGCTAAATGTAGTTTGAAGGTAAAATTGAAGATTATTCATTATAGAGTATCACAAATTGGAATTGTGGGTCATTTTGTGAACATCATCCAGATATGGTTGAAGTGAAGTCATTCTACAAATCTGATCACCATGCTTAAGCCTATGTTGGATACAACAAAAAGGAGAATTTGGTTGTTGTTGTTTATAGAAGTATTAAATCTTATAATATCATTTAAGGTACCTAGGACTTTATCAACTGGTATAACAACATCAAGTTCTTTAAACATGATTTCGGAGATTGCAAAAATTGCAAAGTTCATTTAGGATTTTGGGAAACTTATGATGACGTATCAGCAGAAGTATTAGCTGCAGCAAAACATTTGAAAGAGAAATATCCAAGTTCAAAACTATTGATTACAGGACATTCTTTAGGTGGAGCAGTGGCTTATTTAGCTGCAGTTGATTTAAAGAAATTAGGATATAATATTGATTATTTTTTCACATATGGAGCACCTCGTATTGGAACTCATGAATTTTCAGTTTGGTTTACTAGTTATGTAGCAGCAACAGAACATTGGAGAGTGACACACTATAGAGATATGGTAATTCATTAACCACCTTCTTCATTTTCATATAAACATCCTCCTTAAGAAGTTTGGTATGCTCATGATAATAAATCATATAAGGTAAATATGTATTAGAATGAATTATAGATTTGTTCTAGTGGAATAGACGAAGATCCAACTTGTGCAAACTCAATCATTGGTGATTCTGCTGCTGATCATACTAGCTATTTTAATGTTAGTGGTTCATGCACAGAGGAATTCACAGAAGAAATTGAAATTTGATTAAATATTAATAATTTGTATGGCAGATAAAAAATAATTATTATAATAAGAAGAACTTGAGCCTCTTGCCTAATAAGAGAGTTTATAATTTAAACCAGGAGAGTATTTAGTGCATATTTTGTTGTAATAAACAAGAGCACTTTAAAATCCAAATGATAATGAGAGTACAATAGATCCATTGATTCTAATTGAAACTATGGATTAAAAGAAATTCAGTTCCTAAAAAAAGGGAACTGGATCAAATAGTACTTTAGTTTGGAATGAACATTTCTATTTCAAAAAATCTTTTTTTAATGGTTTACAAATTTAATCTTAGCATGTGAAAATTTCAGTATTAAATCATAAAGTATTTGGAAGAAATGCAGTAGTTGGAATATATGAATTAGATTTCTCAACAATATATATGACAGATAATCATGTATTATTACATAAATGGTTGGTATGAAGATATCTTGACTATTTTAATAGGGATTAATAAATCCAGAGAAAGATTTTAATAAAATAACTGGATATTTGAAGATTAGTATAAACATAGTTAATGATTAAGTTAAACAAACAACTTTATTAATGGACAATGAAATAAAAGAGAGAGGTAAAATAGAAGAGTCAAAAAATAATCTTTTTGTAGATGGAGAATTATTATTACCACCTCATTTATAAACAAAAGGAAAATAATTAAAAATATCTTTAGGTAGAGGTACAAATTTAATGAAAATGGATTCAATGTTAGGATCGATTGATCCATATTTACTTTTTGAAATTGGAGGTTAGGAAATTCAAACAGATTTAGTAAAAGATAGCAATTCTCCAAGATGGGAATTAAATCTATTTGTAAATATGTTATTAAAATAAATAATAAGTTACCAGTAATGACTCCATGTTAAAGCGAATATTTAATAATGAGATTATTTGATTATGATATGGGTGGAAAAGATGAAATAGCAGGTTGTCAATTATTTAGAATTTCAGATATTTTAAATGGTTAAGTAAAAATTATTTTTTTTAATTTAAAGTTTTTAGAACCAAAATGGTTTCACATTTATGGAGCAAATATAGATGCAGATTCATAATAGAGAATTTATTTATGTAGTCATCCTGATTTAGGAACATGTTATGCAGGTAGAATATTATTATCTATGGAATTGATTGACTCTGAATAACCTAAAAAAGATAAACATAAAATAAATGATTAACAAACTTTAGGAAAAATACGCTAAGATTCTACTTATTAATGGTCGTTTTAATGTATGGTGTATTTTGCACTTAATCTACCAAGAGATGATGATTCCTATTCAATTAAAATATAATGGGGTGAATATGAATGTAAAACAAACACTGAAAAAGCCAAAGATGGAGTTATTGAATATTACGAATATTTAACAATTGATAATGTTAAATTTCCCACTCAAGAAATCTCAGAATTACCAGATGTCTTTATTTATTTAATGGATGGAGATGAACCCATTTGTTTTAAGAGATATAAATCATATAATTTAAATTCAACTGATAACCATCCAGATGGACATCATTTTACGGTTACACTTATTCCAGATAAATCACTTAAAAATACTCCTATGGATCATCCTGGAATTGTTAAAATTAAATTTCTAATTTAACCAACAGGTGGATAAATTAAAATGTAACCTATTACAAAGCCATAAAAAGATGTTAATAGTTTTCTTTATGTTAATTTATTTTAAGCTCATGATTTAGCACCTACAGATATGGATGGTTTAGCTGATCCTGTTGTTGATATTCTCTTTTATGATTCAAAATAAACTACTCTTCTCATTAATGACACTACTGCTCCAATTTGGAATACTTAATTAAAGATGCCTGTCTATAAATTTGAAAATGATTCATTCCCTCCTATTATACTTAAAATATTTGATGAAGATAAAGTTAGCAGAGATTTCATGGGATAATTAACTATAGACTATCAAAAAGGATTAAAATAAGGATTTATTACTAAAAATTAATCTCATATTACCAAACCATAATGGATAGATGTTTATTTATATGGAAATAAAGCAGGATAAGTTTTACTCTCATGTAATTATATTGATAATATTTCTGTTAAAATACCTAATCAAATTAGTCCTCCTAGAATTAAATACTTTATCAAAATTAAATTATTAGGTTTACGTAATCTTAAATCATTTGGACCTTTACCTATCACTAAAGCATTTGTTAAATTTAATGTACAATCTATTAGAGCCAAAGATGAACCATTTTCATTCAGCAATTCCAATGAAATCATTACGCAACCTAAAGAGGCAGGATCCAATCCTAATATTACTTCAATCATCTGCTTAGAAATCAATCTTCCTGAAGATGATGCTTTCATTCCCAAATTAATTGGAAGTGTTCATGATTATATACTTAAAGGAATTATGTAACCACTTATAGGATAATTCTCTATTGATCTAAAATTATAGAAATTAAAAACTTTAAAATAAATTGAGGAAAAAAAAGATATAGCCAGAAGATTTCTTAATGGAACACTATAAGTAGATTCTAATGTTATATATTTACCAAGTCTAGATTAAGGAGTTGGTATCAAGATGGGAGCATTATTATAAATGGCATCAGGAGAATAACATAATGAAGATATCAACAATTTATTAACTTAATTGGGAATCCTTAAAAATAATGCTATTTATATGGATTAAATTATTAAATATATAGATTATGATAAAAATTAAGAAGAAGGAATATTTTATGAAGTTGATCAACCTAATATCAAATACTATTTACCATTAGGGTATGACACTTAAATTTAGAAGGCTTAGTTGTATCTATAGAAAATGAAATTAGGAGGTTAAAAAATACAAAACAAATCTTTAAATTAAGTAGAAATTTAAATAAACTCTTCTCAGAAAGGATAATAAGGATTGGTTAAATCAAATATTCACTATCGTTTATGCTTACCCTGTGCATTGGAAGATACTTTATTTATGTAATAGAAGGTTTTTGATGTATTCCAATTGAGAAAAGGAAGCATTAATTTGAGGGAAGTGGAAAGTATGGCTGAAATAATTTTGGGAGTCAAAAGAATTAATAGAATACTGGAAAATTGAAAGGATGGGTGGAAGTAATATCACAATAAGACTTAGAGAAATTGCAATCTCAAGGTGAGTTTAAGTTGATAAAAAATGAATATGATTTTACATCTGGTAAGAGTGATACAAACTTAATTGATAAGGAATTAGTAGTTAAAAATTAGGTAACAATTAGATTGTATATAATTGATTGTTCAAATTTACCACCAAAAGATTAAGATTCAATGTCTGATCCCTATTTAAAAATAAGATTGGGTAAGGAATAGATAGATGATGTGGCAAATAGAATTACAGATAATTGTAATCCCTAATATTACAAAAGATATGATATTACAACAGAATTACCAGGAGCATCTGAATTAATAATTCAAGTGTGGGACTACGATGACTTTATGCCTGATGATTTGATAGGATAAACAATAATTGATANAAAGGAATTATGTAACCACTTATAGGATAATTCTCTATTGATCTAAAATTATAGAAATTAAAAACTTTAAAATAAATTGAGGAAAAAAAAGATATAGCCAGAAGATTTCTTAATGGAACACTATAAGTAGATTCTAATGTTATATATTTACCAAGTCTAGATTAAGGAGTTGGTATCAAGATGGGAGCATTATTATAAATGGCATCAGGAGAATAACATAATGAAGATATCAACAATTTATTAACTTAATTGGGAATCCTTAAAAATAATGCTATTTATATGGATTAAATTATTAAATATATAGATTATGATAAAAATTAAGAAGAAGGAATATTTTATGAAGTTGATCAACCTAATATCAAATACTATTTACCATTAGGGTATGACACTTAAATTTAGAAGGCTTAGTTGTATCTATAGAAAATGAAATTAGGAGGTTAAAAAATACAAAACAAATCTTTAAATTAAGTAGAAATTTAAATAAACTCTTCTCAGAAAGGATAATAAGGATTGGTTAAATCAAATATTCACTATCGTTTATGCTTACCCTGTGCATTGGAAGATACTTTATTTATGTAATAGAAGGTTTTTGATGTATTCCAATTGAGAAAAGGAAGCATTAATTTGAGGGAAGTGGAAAGTATGGCTGAAATAATTTTGGGAGTCAAAAGAATTAATAGAATACTGGAAAATTGAAAGGATGGGTGGAAGTAATATCACAATAAGACTTAGAGAAATTGCAATCTCAAGGTGAGTTTAAGTTGATAAAAAATGAATATGATTTTACATCTGGTAAGAGTGATACAAACTTAATTGATAAGGAATTAGTAGTTAAAAATTAGGTAACAATTAGATTGTATATAATTGATTGTTCAAATTTACCACCAAAAGATTAAGATTCAATGTCTGATCCCTATTTAAAAATAAGATTGGGTAAGGAATAGATAGATGATGTGGCAAATAGAATTACAGATAATTGTAATCCCTAATATTACAAAAGATATGATATTACAACAGAATTACCAGGAGCATCTGAATTAATAATTCAAGTGTGGGACTACGATGACTTTATGCCTGATGATTTGATAGGATAAACAATAATTGATATTGAAGAAAGATTTTTTTAATCTAGATTTAGATAATTGAAACAAATACCTATAGAAACTCGTCAATTGATACATCCAAGTTCGTCAATTTCATAGGGATAAATTCGTTTATTTATGGAAATAATACCTTCTAAATAAACATCAATTCTTAAGAATCCATGGTTTATTGAATAAAAACCAAAAGTTAAACATTTGATTAGATGTGTTGTGTGGGATGTGTTAGATGTACCATCACATGACGATGAAGGATCCTCAGATTTGTATGTTATTGGATTTGTTGATTAAAATTAGAAATAAAAAACAGATACTCATTTTCGTAGTTTCAATGGAAAAGGTTCATTTAATTGGAGAATGGTGTTTCCTATAGAATTACCTCAGCAATAATAAACTGTTCTAACATTTTAAATTTTTGATAAGGATATATTTACTTCAGATGATTTCATTTCTGATTGTTCAATAGACATTACAGATTTATGTAGAAGAGCCTTTGAAAATGAAATCAATGTAAAGATGTATTCATAAACAGAACCACCTTCTGATGGAATTCTTAAGTAAAATACTATTATAAAATAAACAAATAATGGGATATTATATGAGAAGAATGTGATTCAAACAATAAATACTGAAAAGGCTGGATATAAGAGTAATCAATAGAATGGAAAACTAGTAGTTTCTATTGAGATAGTGTCGGAATAGTTTCAGAAGAAGAATCCAGTAGGTTTAGGAAGATCATAACCTAATCATTCTCCAGTTTGTCCTGAACCTACAGGTCGAATAGAATGGACTTGGAATCCAATTAAAATGCTAGTAATGATATCATTATTATAATTAGAGTTAATTATTAGGACCAAAAGCAATTAAATACTTGTTATTGGCTATTTGTATTATGTTTGCTGGATATATGTTGGTTATGCTATTTCCAGTAATTACTGGTAATTTGATGACTAGAATATTTACAGGTTGAAATTATTATTAAAATAAATTATAATTACAAATAGATAAAATAATAATCAGATTCAATAATATAAAATATCCTATATTTATGTCTAAACTAATGTCAAGAATAATTTCAACTCCTTATTCACATAATTTTATATAGGGATTTCAATAAAATTCATAACTTAAAGCTTCAAATTACTCTCATCTAATATTTTATGCACACATCTTTCTGCAAAAACTATCTTCATTAGTTAAACATGATTATTTATCATCAAAAGAACGTCAAGGAATGGATTGCTCTATCCCATTAATAAAAGTACATACATTATTAGAATTATTACAAAGCATATGTCAATAATTTCTTCACACCTTTCGTAGTATTTTTAGAATTCTATTCAATATACACTTAAAAAGTCTACAAAATCAAAATTTTTGAGATTGATTTCATTGCAATCACAAATAGGATAAGCAAATCCATATAATTCACAATAAGAATTATTACATACTTTTATTTCATCTAATATTTTATATTTCTCCAAACTAAATTCCAATTAAATACATATATTAAATGAATTATCATATGATTTACAATCTAACTCTAATTCTAAATTTTACACAGCCTTAATCAGTCCATTAACAAAATCATCTTGAAGTCTTTATAGCTGTGTTGTGGATTAAATTATTTCTTAATAAAAAAAAATGTTTAATCTTTAAAATCATTTAATACATGATGAAATATAATGAACAATTTAATAAGAGTTTTGATAAAAATAAATTATACTTAATTATGAATTCATTCAATATTAAAATTTCTAGAAATAATCAATATATATATAAAATTTCCTTTAGATAATTTAATATAATAAAAAAGATAGGATTTTTATAAACACTAATCATTTACCATGATGCTGTCAAATTATTAATATTAACAGAATTTTTATCTTCTGGTAAAACTTAATATAAATTAATTTCTAATTGGGAAAATCAACAATCTGAGTTGTTTTATTTAATTTTGAATATATCTTATAATAAAGTTTAGAAATAAATTAGGACAAATTTCAAATTCATATTAATATACTTCAGTACAACAATCGTCTAAATTTTTACAAATAGTAAATTTTTACGTTTTATTTAAATAATAGCAATCTGATCCTATAAGTATCTTACATAAATTTGATTTTATTCATAGAATTCACTTACACTGAAATTTAAAAAAATTCAGGAAATTATTAACAATAATCAAGAGACACTTAATTAAATTAATCAGAGTTATTGACAGAGGATCTACACTAAAACATTTTCAATTTCATAAGCATAATATTCATCTTGATTGTAATTTTCATGCAATCATTTAATGAGGAAGCATTTTTGTAAGTATGAATTTTATGATTTTATCCTTGGCATTTACTATTTAGCATGTACAAAAATGATATGATGTATAAATAGTAATTAAAATAATTTAAATATATTTTTGATAGGTAATCAATTTCATGATTTGTGCATTTATCAACATATGCACTTTTACATATTTTGAAATTTTATATAATCTTGGCTCATAATTTTTTATGGTTTAAAATTTGAAATCTATTAATTAATATTGTGTTTGACTTTTATATGAATAAAAAACTGTTGTCTTAAGAGTAAGATGAATTTTTAATTGAAACTATTTCCTTTAATGAAGTATTATCTCTGAAAAATAATCACAGAGAAAATCAAGACAATAATTACACATAATATAGTTAATTTGTACCTAAGAAAAATAGATAATCTACCTCTATGATTTTTTCAATTTAAGCATAGGAATAATTTGATTTAGATGAATTAACCAAGCAACCTTATTTCAAAGATAATAAAATAAATAATATATTGGAAACTAAAAGCAAAAATACCCATAACACACCATCAATAAAATAAATTTAAATTGATTCAAAATTTCATTCATAAAATAAAACTAAAAAAAGAAGAATTTTTCCTGAAAATTCGGCTCCTTCAACAGAATTGATTAAAATTATCCATCCAAAAGTTATCACTCCAGATGAATTTAAATATACCAAAAAATTATCGGATTTACATCATTCAGAATCTTCAGCAATTACTCTTTCCAACCAAAATGATTCTTAAACTTCAAAAATATTAAAACTTGAAGATAAATTTTATAGACTGTCTTAATAGAATATAGCCACGCTAAATAAAGAATAATAATAAAAGTCAACTTAGTTAAATCTTATTAAAGAAGTTCTTACAGAAGTAGATGAAGAATAAGAAGCTTTTTTTATATATAAAGAAAATAAGAAAGAAATAAGCAGATTTCATTATTTCTTAAAACTAGCTCCATATCCTAAAAGAATAGTCACTTTTGTATAGGTAATCAAAAAAGTTGGAGATATTGAAATTTGTATTGGAATTGAGGGAACAGAATAAATTATTTATTTTAGAAGAATTAAATGTGAAAAAGCTAAGCTCTATAATAATTGTAATATTTAAGTTGAATGAATAAGATTTACTTGATTAACAATATTTTATAATTTAATTATTATTTTACATTTTCCTATTTAATCATAAAAATGTTTCATTGAACATATCTAATAGAGTATTTTTATCTTTAACTTTATGATTATTGTTATAAAGGATAAACATACTTTATATTTGGAGTTCCTTGTCTTATAACTTTACTAGAGTATTGTGCTTATTTTTGGCTCTCTGCTAGTTTATTTTGATAATATGATCCAAAACAAATCTCATATTATTCATCAAATATATTTTATCTTGCATTTGGACTTTTTAAATATAGTTTGAAATAGGAAAGTATTATAAATAGCTAAAATTTTATGATAAAAATTACTTTTTCAATGAGAACCAAAATACAAAGAACTACTGTATATTAATGAAATGTATCTTCTTGGTGATCATATTTGACCTCATTTTTTAAATATGGTTTAAAATAAATAAATAACCAAAAGCCATCATAAATAATAGACAAAATGTACATAAATGTCATTATTTTTATGTGCAATAAAGATTGCAATTCAAAATTGTTCATGTAAAACCATAAACTGTAAAATAAAATTAGAAACTAATCTAATGAATCTGATTAATACATCCAAAAATTGAGTCTTTATAAACGATTCTGCAATAGTTGATACTAAAAACATAAGTGTTAGTATCAAACTTATTCTTAACCATTAATTTGGAGTTATTTCGGTATTTTATTTAGGAGGCTCTACTGAATAGTTTTATTGAGTTGAATAAATTTAATTTACACTTAATTGTTACTTTTAACTTTATTCTAATTAATATAATGGATCTATTGTATTTTATTATTGAAAAGGTTAGAAAATTGCATTAATATCATTGTTATACTCATCTATATCAAATTTAAGTTCTTAGATTTATTATTATGTTTCTAAAATTTCTTATTCTAGATATTTTGTCTAATTACTTATGTTTTAATACTTAAGAATGTATCCATTAAATTGAAACCTTAACAACAGCTGATCTAACAGTATTAAGTTCATTCATAAAAATTAGTTCTTCCTGATGGATTTTTTAATCATAAAATTCTTTCAACTACAATTATACTTACCCACCTATTTATTTATTTTTAGCTGATTCCTCATCCATTATAGCAAGCCATATCTCCTCTTAACCAGATTATATAGGAAAAGTAAAAGTATCACCCCATTAAGGTGAATTTCTATTTACATATTTTGTTTGATAAATAATTTCATCACATCCTATCTTTATAAAAACTAAAGAATTTCCAGGAAACTCCACTATCCCATCCAATATTTAAATTGTTAATGTACTTTATAAACTAATATTGTAATTATTATATCTCTCTGTATTCGTCAATTATTTCAATTTTATTGATATCTAATTCAATTCACTAATTAATGTATGAAATATTACTTTTTCTTTTAATCCATTAATGTAGATGATTGATTAATTTTACTTGTTAATGTTTAATACGCTTAAAGTACAATATTTTTAAAATCCATTACTGAAACATATCCATTTATTCCTTTAGGCATTCTTGAATACAATTGTTCAAAGATTATTCTGTCATATAATTATGTACATTTTTAGTCTAGAAATCTCAGTAGCTATTCTCTACTTATTAATTCATTGAAATTATTTGTTAATTATTTAAATACATTATCCATGTTTTTCATTATTTCTCCTTGATTCATAAAATTTAACTGTTATATAATTATTTAATTTTTTTCAACTTATAATAACTTATAATATTCTTTATGGACTTCAAAAACAATTTAAACTTTTCTTGAATTACTTTTATTTAACCTTCCATTAAGCATCAAATAATTGGTTGAAGGAAATTTTACATTTTACATTTTGTAAAATTTTAGAATAAAACAAATATAATTTTCAGAAAATAAATCAAAAAAAAACAAAATATATTATCAAAATACTAAATTTATATTTCTTTATGAAATTATTTGCATAATAGTATATAATCTAGTAAAATGAACATATATTATTTGAAATAAATATTTTATCATTTATTCAAATAATCGAAGATTAAATCTCTTTTAATTCTCTTTTCAAACCCAAAAGCATAAATATTGCATATCTTTGGTATTTAGATCCACTTGTAAATTTTATCACCTCTAACTTATTAATTAAATTTTATATCTAAAAATTAAACAAATTTTACTTAATCTATGTTGGATTGCTTATTTATTAATTATAATCCTTAATTTAATATTTACTCAAATAAGATTATTTTTTCTAATGCTTCAAATCCTTAGTTAAAAAATTTTAATTTTATTTTTTATATTAATTCTTCATATTAATTTTACTCTTAATTTTCTCTACTTAAAGCAAAAAAATTAGTTATGGATGACTCAAATAAATAGTGATTAGGATCATAGTTTGTAATTAAGGAATTTAATAATTTGTTGCAGTAAAAGAGTGCTGATTTTGAGTTTCCTTTATTCATTGCTTGTTTCATCAAAAAATTTGTTAAATCTGTAGATGATTATTCTGAAGTTTTTAGTAAATTGAATAATTTATCAATTTATGCTTTATCTTCTTCTAAATATTTAATTTTAAATATTTGATATTTCATTTACAATTCTTCATTTTAAGAATTTTTTATAAGATCATTAATTTTATCTTCAATTTCTTTTAATTATTTATCATCAAAGATTGAATATAAATTTTACTAATATTAAAGAATTAATGTATCTAGTAGATTAATTTATACCTTATCAATTTTAGGATTCATTTGATTTAAAATATTTAAGGAATATAACAGAGAAGAATCTGCTTAATCAAAATTAGATTGTCTTAAGTAACAATCTCCAAGAAGTAAGCTAGATTTTGCATTTGCTAGATAGATATTTTCAAAATTTGGTTGAATCTCAATATTAATATCAGAAAGTAAATCTTAAAGAGCATTACAATTTTTTTATAAGACAAGTTCAGCATCTTTAAAATTTCCATTTTTTGAATAATTTACAGCTTGATTATGAGAATTTTCAATTTAATACTAAATTTCTTTTAACAAATCATTAATCCAATCATTACTTTTTGATTTTGAGTTTTCTTTATAATCTCTTATTAGTTAACTAACATCTTTTGAACCTAAAATATTGAAATTAAAGTAAATTTTGTTGTTAATTGTAATTTTAACTAACTTATTTGAAAATCCACAAAAATTTTTTAACATATTTTAATAAAAAATTAATGATTTATTTATTTAAAAGAATACCAATTATCATTCAATTTCTATTCTTAAGGCTTTAATGTATTGAGTTCCAACTTTATCAGGATCAGATGATACAAAAGCAGATTCAATATTTCTCATTTCATTTAATCCTTGATCAAAGCAGTTCAAAAAACCATCATAACTTGATACCATAGGATCATATAAAATATTTCCAATTCCTTGAATGTGAGATACACAAAATTTAAATGAAGTCTTTTTTAAAGAATAATATGAAAGAGCAGAAAAGAATTTACCTTCTTCTGAATCATCAAATTAATTTTTTCCACCATTGTATTTTTAGAATTGTTTATTATTTATATCGTTTACGTCGATTTCATATGCAGGATAAAACTAATATTTATGTAAATATAAATACTTTTTCCAAAGGAAAATCATTATAAACGTCACTTAATAAATCAGTTAAATAATTAAAGGCTTTCAATCTTTCTTCTTCTTAATAAGAATTAAATTCTTTGATTATTTCCTCATAAGGAGCTCTTGATTAGTCTTAAAAACTTAATTCAATAAATTCTGAAATAAATTATGCTTGTATTTTTTTATCATTATTTTATTCTGCAGCTTTGGGTCTTCTCAATTATATATCCCTTATGTAACTATAGAATTCATTTGAATTCTCCTCATCAACTATTTAGCAGAATTTGATAACAATTTTTTAAAAGACCTCAGGTGCTTATGCTATATTACCATTTTTAATCATTTCTAAAAAAAACTATTTAAAACTAATTTCAACCGAAAATAACATTGGAGATGCGAATTTAAATTAAAAAGGGATATTTATTCCTTTTTCTTTTAATTCCTCAATAAATTTATCCAAAATTATTTATGCAACAATATTTCCACTTAAAATATCTAAAGCCTTTTCTTTCAACAAATGTTCATCTTATTAACTTTCATATGATTCTTTTATAATATAGATTTTTTGACAATTTTCAGTTTTAATTTTTTTTTATAATTCTTCCCCCAAATGATCAATAGAATTACAAAAATATAAATGAATAGAATCTATTAATTTACTATTATCATTATCTTCTGATGTTTCACAAACAATTTCCTCTTGAGATAATTAGCCATTTAATTTTTTATTATGATTTATTATAATTGTGGATCTAATATCTAAATTACTTGAACTCAAAAAAACTTTTTCATGAGCTTTCATATATTGTAGATCATAAACTTTATACACCTTATCAATAAGTTTGTCCTTTTTTTGATATAATTTTTCACTAATTAATTTCTCCAATGCAAAATTAATGTCATCTTTATAACTTCTTGGAATTAATTCAACTATCCTCATTAAACGATATCTAAAAGCATTGTCTAGATTATCTTCAAGTATTTAGATCTAAGCATTTTTTTCAATGAATTATTAATCTTCCTCATTAATAATTTATAACAAATTTTTAATACGAATTTCTTTCTCTTCAACTTATTTACTATCCTCTAATTTTTAAAGTTTAAGTTCTTCTTTTTCTTCTGTTAATATTTTATTTTCTTTTTATTTTTTTTCTAGTTCTTCTGAAGTTTTTATAAGTTTTGCTTCTAAATCAAAAATAGTATCACCAAGCCTTTTAATTTCAGATTCCAATTTAAATTTCATATTTTCAAAATCCTTTGGGTCCATTTATTGTACAAGATTTTAACTTCTGAATAAGTCTGGTTACTGTTACGTATATAATCTATCTTCTAAACATTTATATCGATCCCTTTCTTTTTGTAATAAATCCTCTAACAATTTTTTTTATGATTCTTAATCTTGTTTGTGTTTATCTTCTGATTTATTTAATAGTTCTTCCGTCTTTTTTATTTACTCATCTTTGTATTAAACATCTTTCTACAAAGATGAAATTTTAGATTAAAATGCACTTTTCTCTTCCGTAATCGCTAATATTTTATCTTTCTAACTTTTATATTTATCCTTTAACTTTTAATAATTTTTATTTTGCTCTTAGATATTTCTATCAGATTCATATTAATTTTTTTGCCCTTAAATAAATCTATCAAGTTAATATTTATTTTCCAAATTTTCTTTCTCCAATACTTGATTTCTTTACTCCAATACTTGATTTCTTTACTCCAATACTTGATTTCTTTACTCCAATGTTTGATTTCTTTACTCCAATTCAATAACTTTTTTTTTTAAATCTTCTGAGCATTATTTTTCTTAATTTAATATAGATTTTAGCTCTTTTTCTTATTATTCTAAGTTTTTCTAAATATCTTCTTTAAGTTTTTTAATCTCTTCATCTTATTTAATTAATTGCTGTCTCATAAAATTAAAACATCTTAACATCTCTCTAAGATCAACTAATTTATAAGTTATTTCTGGATTTAGACTCAAATATAAATATTAAATTACTCTTATTTTTTACTTATGAATTAATTACTTTTTTCATCTATTATCAAACAAAATTCATAATCTGGTAAATTATGACCATTTTCTAAATTGATGAATATAAATACCTGTATAAATATATCTTAAGCTCATTTATGTCCCATTCTATTTAATATGTTTGTTAATATTGCCATCTGGATATTTTATATATACAGCACTCATTTAATAGAATTAATAAAATAATTATTATTTTAAGTATTATGTTTTTATTATTCAAATATTTATCATATTTCTATATCCTTAAAGCTTTAATTTGGATTATAATCATATGCCCAAGGGTTGTTGGATAAAAATTCACTTGCTGCTTATTTCAAATTTATATTAGGATATATAATTTATGGATTAATTGGTTTTCTAATATAATAAGTAAATAAATGCACTTAGTAAAAGGATCTTAAGTTAGAGGATTTATTTTGAATAGTACTGACTTTTCATAAGAATATCCTGTTTCTGTTGTATAGGGATCAATAAGTAATTTATTTGTTATATGGCATTATAAAAATTCTGGTATTTCTAATTTAGGTTTTTCATTTGTAATGTATTTATTAATTTATGCTAATGTAATTTATTTTTCTTATTAAGTTAATTTAACATCATTTTTTACTAATTCTTATAACTATTAAACAATTTCTTAATTTTTTATTTTTTCCTCTTCATACTAAATAAACCACTTAAGTTTTTTAGCTTTATTAATTTTATCATCTATATCTTTTTCATATTCAATTTTCTTTTAACCTGCACATAAGGTCCTAGCTATAAATAATAAGTTAAAATAACCTTTCAATATTCTTTGAATACCTGTGTCAATTTTAGAGCTCTCCTATCTTTCTTTTGCTAACATACATATTGATTAACCTGCTATCATATGTGCTTTAATATTCTTCTCATCTAATTCCAAAGCCTCAGTTGCATCATTACAGGCTTCTTAATATCTCTTTAAATTATAATAACACATTGCTCTATTTGAAAAGAAAACACTCTCTGTATGATCTTCATCCTAGATTAATAGAATCATTTACTATTGCTTAAGAGTAAAATTCTATTGCAGATAAATAATTCTAGTTTTAAAATGCTTCATTTCCTTTTATTTTTAACTATTATGCTTTGGTTTACATATTATTATATTAAATAATCAATTAGACATTAATTCTTCTATCTAATTTTTATGTTCATCTTATAAATCAAGTATTCTCTTTTTTGCTTAATCTCTTTCTATCTAAAATATTTTTTCTAATCTTAATTGTTCTTGCTTATTTTCAATCTAATATAATTATTTTTCTCTTTCCTATTCTAATCTTTACTCATTTTCCAAAAGCTAAATTAATTTCTTTTTATTACATTTATCATCTCTTCTTATTATTATTACTCCAAGAATTCTAATTCACATTATTTTTATTGATCAATATGTACTTTTATTACTTTTTTCTCTTCATTTTAAACTTTTTTTGTAAGAGCAGACTTTGGTCTTGAAACTTCATCTTTTTTTTTTGGAAGAGCAGTTTATGCTAAATTTATATTATTTATTTACGTCTTCCTTTTTTTTAATTTGATATAGGATGATCTTCAATTTAACAAAATTCTTATTATTATTAACATTCATTCTAAATAGATTATTAAAGAATTTCAATTTTCCCCTATTTTATTAATTCAAATTAATGTTTTAATTCCTCCTTTTAATAATTAGCTATTTATTTCATTTATAATCTTTACTCTTATATTCTACTCTTTTATAATTATAAATTATCAGTTCTTCTCATTTTTTCTTCTATTTTTTATCTTAAACTTTCTTTTTCATATTCTTATTTTCTCTATAATCTTTCTAATGCTTCCTTTTTATCTTTCATTTTTAGAATTTCTTATAATTTGATTTATTCCTAAATTTATTATTTTTCCATTTATTTTTCTAAAATCATTTATTCTTTTAAAATTAATTTATTATTCAATTCCATAGTTCTAATTTATTAATTTTTTTCAACATTTTAAATAGCATCAATTCTATGCTACTCTTTCTCTTCTTATTATTATTTTTTAATAAAAAATTCTTATAATTTTTCATATTCTAATTACTTCTTCCTTTAATTAACTATTTCTTATTTTTATTAATAATCATAATATTTTTTTTCTTCTTAATTTTATGCTCTTTCAATAACTTATTTCATTTTTTCTTAGTGTTACTATATATTAAAATAATTTTCAATAATTTTTTATTCTTTCTATCTTTCGAATTCTAATCGTCTCTCCTCTATTTTAGTTTATTTAATTTAAAATTATTCTCTCATCCTTTCTAATTATTCCATTTATAGTTATTTAACAATTTACAATTTGGATTTTAATTCAAGTTGAGCTTATTAAGAAGCATAAATTTTTTCTTATCTAGATTACTCTTGTTTTTCTAATCTCTCTCTATCATTAATTTCCATAATTAATTTCTTTTATTACAATTCCATTTCATGTCTTAATTAAATTTCTTACATTTATTCTTTAAAAATCTATTATCTCTATTTTCTTTCCTCTTCTCTTCTTCTATATTCTTATTACAATTCTTTTTATCTCAATTATTCTATTTAAACTCTTTATAATTCTTTTTTATATTATTATTTAGCTTTTATTTTTAAATTCTATTCTTCCCGTTATAATTTAATTTATCTATCTCTCTCTCTTTATACTCTATCATATTCCTATTTAACTCTACTTTATTTTAACTATTCGTCTCTTCTCTATTATCTCTCTTGTATCTATCGTTATTTTAATTCATTTCTTTCACGAATCTCTTATTACTTTTTTTCATGTTCAAGCATCTATTAAATCTCTTTTTATTATCTCCATTAAATTTTTTCTAATTCTTATTAATTTTAACTTGCTTATAATTCATCTGACTTATCAACAATAGCCTATTCTTCCTCTTCTTAATTATTAAAATGAAATCCTGCATCAATTAATTATTATCTTGCCTCTAAACATGCTTATAATTTCTCTTATCTTCTTATTTCATGATGTTACCAAATAATCTCCCATCCTTATTTATTCAATCGCAATTCAGGATTTCTCTATTTAAGTTCCTTTATACCAATTTAAATTAATTCCAAAGGCAAAATTCCACATAAACGGCAAGCCTCAAAAGATCGTGGGCTTTTAGTATTTACTTAAAATACCTGTTTATTATTGGTTACTTAAATGAAATTTAATTGAAGTTCTCCAAACTTAACATTTAAATTATTGATAAAAAATAATTACTTTCCTATTTTATTATTATTAAAACTCATAAAATTGTATATTTTATTAACCTTATAAACTATTTAAATACACCTTAATTTTTATTATATACTATTATTATAACAATAAAAATATCAATTTGGCATTAAGCTTCTAAAATTTTTAATTATTTTTTAAAAAGTCTAAGCTATGAACTACTTCCATTAACCTTTTTCTTCTTCAAGAGCTTCTATTAAATCAGAAGTAATTAATCCCTTTACTATTTCTTTTTCTACATCTTTATCATCTAATTCATTATTAATCACAATCTGTGCTTTGATGACTAGATTCTATTATTCAGTTGTTTATAAAGTTTTTTAAACAATATTCCCATTAGGATTTTTTATCTTTCTCATCTCCTAAAAAGTTTAGATAATCTTTTCTTAAATTAAGGTTGCAAAAATACACACATAAAAATGACATTCATTTTAATGAAATAGATTTGTTCTAATTTTTTATTTTGTAATAAATTTATCATCTTAAAGTTCATTCAACATTTCAAAAAAATTTGGAATCAAATTACAAAAAAAATAATATTCCATTGCTATCAAAACTAATTAATCTTAAGGTATTTTTAGATGATCATCACTATAAAATAGACATCTTTAACCTACAAATTTTGAAATAGGAATAGCAGTTTTTTCATACAAACTCATATTAAGTAAACTAAGTATATAATCTGGAGTATTTTTTTGTCTAGTATAAAATTCTACATTTTTAAAAAGTTAAGTAGTAAATTTAAACACATGTAATTTTCTAATGTCACTTTAATATTCTTTTGATTAATTTTTAATTTTTTGAGTTTCTTCAAAAAATTATTAGTCTTTAAAATAATGCATTAGTTTTTCTACAATAAATTCATAGTATTATTTTTCATGAATGATAGTTTATCTTTTGGAGAATTTGTCTAATACTTTTTAATGTTATTAAAAATTTTAATTTATTTAACTTCGTAATTCTTATTTCTATTTTTATATCATTCTATATTTTTTTGACAAACAAATAGCAGCAAATATTGCATAACCAACAATTTTGAATTTATGTTTCTTTTTTTTGTTTTTGGATTCTTTTCTAAAATTCATACTATTCTTTATCTCTCCATCTTATTCATGTATCTCTGAATTGAATTTCATTTATTTTTTATTTGAAACTTTCATATCATTTATTTATTTTTACTCAAACTCAATAAACGAATCATCTAATTCTTCTTTATTCACATTTATTATTTTATGAATTTTTGCTGTTCTAGAATGGTTTTTCAATTAAATATTTTTATTATTATTTGGTAATTTGCTTTATTTGCGAAAACTTACTCCATCATCAAATGATTTATCACCTTAAAAGTTATTATCATATGATTTATTTCTTATTCTACGAGGCTTTTATTTTAATTCATATTCTTATTAATTTATATTGTTGGGTTGTAATTATTATGGTTAATAATTGAGATCTTCATTCAAAACCTTTATTAACTCTTTGAGAAGAAACTTATTTTTCTAATCAATCTCAAAAATTTCTTAGAATGAGAGAAAATTTTTTTAATTTTGTATTTATTGTTATATTCTAAATTAAGGTTTTTCCGAAGTTAGAAATTAATTTCTTTGAGGTATTTGAGGTAATTTTGGATAGTTTTCAAATAGATTATTAGATTTCTAGTTAGTTGATAGTTTCATTGTTAATGAA